CRCACRMWMAMKAWRWTCAATAAAATCACAAAGAYTTCACAAAAAAGMTTCAAATTTAATTACATAGTACCTTTCTATTTCTTGAAAGCAAGCTCCTRTCTGACTCATGACTGTAAGCTGTCTCCACRTCAGATAAGTGACTGTCACTAGATGTGTCTGAAGCAAGGTAGAGAGGAATGGATTCTGCTCGTCCTTCTACAGGTGTCCGTCTGGGAGCATTACGGATAATYCCACCAAGTGTCTGTCCTGAGGGGAGCCTCCAGTTTAGTCCTTGTCTAGTGCTGTAGCCACGATAAACTGCCTGTATTCTGGTAGCTGCTGAGTTCATACTTTCCTGCAAAACAAAACAACTTGGTGAGATGTAAGTGGATGATTATGTGTATATATATTGTTAGATTAAATCTAACTCCGCTGTGGTCCTGTTCTGATTCCAGGGCAAGGTTGTTCAAAGCCCGATAAGCGTTAATGCTAGGTTAACTCTTAGAAAACCTATGGAGTTAAACCTGGATTAAGGCTAATGGGGCTTCAAACAACCAGGTCTAGGACTATATATATGTAATTTGAGTTTGTAGGCTGGGTCTCTTCTTTGCYCTGACGGTTTTTCTCTGGGTATGCTTGTTTTCCTCTCTCAGTGAAAAACTGGCTGCGAGGAGTGTTGTGTGGCATAACATTCAATGTAGTGATCATGAGTGCGAGCAAGTATGATATATTACAGTAGCCACTGGCTAGGGAGACTTGGCCATGACTCTCAATATCCATGCAAAATTTAGCTATTTATTTATTTTTTAAGTGGAGCATACCAGTGTGTCATTCAACTCTGCTTGTTCATGAAGGTTGCTCACACCTGACAAAAAAGGYATAATAGTATTAAAAAAGTCAGATACATGAGAGTTAAGAAAGAAAGGCAAAAGAAACAAAGGAAGGCTAGAAGAAAGGAAGGAAGGAAGARGGGRAGGAAGYTAGGCAGGGTAAAAYGAAGGAAAAAAATGAAAAAAGAAAAGAAGGAGCATTCATTGAAATGAATGAATGAATGTATGAATGGTGTATGTATTCTTAATCTTTTTAACCACAATTTTATAGCTGGAGAAGAAAGGAATAAATAAAAGAAAGAAAGATAAAAAAGGAAGAGTTATGGTATTAGTGTAGCATAAAAAAAGAAACAATGAAAAAAGTAAAATTAAGATAAACAGAAAGAATGAACACATGAAATAAGGGGAGACATAATAATCAACAATGTTGGGCTAATAGAAAATAAATATAAAATGAAATAAAACAAAATATTGAATATAAACRAAATGAGCATTCTTACAACCAAACCACCATACCTGGCAAGTTTCCTCTGAARACATCTGGCTCCTTYAATGYMACTCCTTTAGATGSCAATGGTGRTTCAACCTCTGCYTTTTCAAGCATGGTTAARCCAAGTCTTCTGGCCTCTTGYTCTAGTCTGTTCTTCAAATCGGCAGCTGTATTCTTCAATGCCTCAATTCTATTTGTTCTACTGGAGAGTTGAATTGGATTGCCTGGCATTACAAAAATACATCAATATAAATAAGCTACAATCAAAAAGGTTGAAAATAACTTTTTCTAGTAAGTGTAATTTCATTGAAATGGTTGAAAATAATAACAGAGTGCTCTACAGTTTCTGTCCAATCACAGCAAGCCTAAGGTTTTTTACTTTCATTCTTTCACAGCCTTTTCAGCTCCTAGTACTATAAAAGCAACAACTAGTAACATACTTGGAATTCTTGGATATGCTATTTCTTCCTCCCTTTCATSTCTTCCCATTTCTCCATTCAATGCCCTGCTCTCAKTATAACTGCTTTCTCCAGGAGTTAAAGTAATATCGTCTTGATTATCAGGCTCTTCCTCTTTATTTGTATTTGGTAATCTACTGTGACTTTCATTCAAAGACTGCAGTGATAAATCACTAGAAGCATCACTGATTTCATCGGAATGATGATCATTTGAAGATGACATTTGATGACCTCTGGGGGAAGGGGTGGGGAGACCATTGAATGAGGCTACATCTGTTCCATCTGATAAAAATTCAAAGTGCAATTTAAAAAATAAAACTAATATTTAATTTAACTTACAAAAATTATGATGATAATAGAGTACAAACATTAAATGTGTGCAACACTTTCCACTATTTACTACAATTTAAATAGTGTTAATTAAACAATAGAAAACAATAGAATTAGCATAGTTTAGCAGTATTTAGTGGTATTTATGTTGCACAGTTTTAGTGCTTGTACTCTATTGTTTTTTAGTATTACATTAGGCATAAAGTGGCACACTCTTTCAAGAAAACTGACCTTTTTCTGATTCACTTTCATGTGAGAAAAACTGAAAAAAGAAAAAAAAACAAATTTAACAATAATCAATTAATTATTATCCATTATTAATAGGCTGGCAAATCAATATTCTTTATTATTAACAAGCTGTTGAATTTGACCAGCAATCACCCTCTGATCTGATACGCTTGAAAAAAGATCTAATCTCATATTGCTTTGGTTGTTATTTTTGTTGTTGTTGTTGCTGTATACTTATGTCAAGACGGTACCAATCTGTTATTGTTGTTGTCAATATTGTTGTTATGTCTGTTGTTGTTGTTATTGTTGCTGTTGTATACTAACCTCAGGAAGATAACCAAGATCTGTTGCTGTCATTGTTGTCATTAGATTTGTTTTTGCAATTATTATTGTTGTTGTCAATATTGTTGTTATGTCTGTTCATATTGTTATTGTTGTTGTATACTTACCTCAGGAAGATAACCAATCTGTTGCTGTCATTGTTGTCGTTAGATCTGTTTTTGCAATTATTATTATTGTTGTTGTTGTTGTCAATGTTGTTGTTATGTCTGTTGTTATTGTTATTGTTGTTGTTGTTGCTGTATACTAACCTCAGGAAGATAACCAATCTGTTGATGTTGAAAAGTAAAATGTCCAGGAATAACAGAGTGAGTCTCTCCCAACTTGCATTTAGAACTATTTTGATTCAAGTTAGTAGCCAGGATCCTTTTCTGTTTGTTATACAGGGTCTGTACAGTAGAAAAGAAAATCATATCATGTACCATTTGCACTAGTTTATAACTCYTTGTGAGCCCTTCAGTATGTAGTGTCCAAACTTTAAGGATGTCCAGGCTTCACAGTCCAGTAWCATCAGYTTTTGGGTTAAGCCTCTTGTCCCTCCCTATAGAAAGCCTGACACACAGGTGGCTGCAAGGAGACTACAGGGGACATGGAAAACTTAAATTTCCTTATCATTACTGCTGAAAACTAATCTTAAATTCAAATCAAAAGTCAGCTGATTATCTATACCTCAAGCCTCTTTTTACGACCATCTACTGCGTCCTGTTTCATCTTCTTTTCTTCTCGCAGCTTCTGTTTTCTGTCTTTAATCTTCTTTTCCATGTATTTCTGAAATATTATATAGAATGGTTAAAGGGGGAAGGATTTGAATTTTGTAAYAAAAAATTCCATAATTCCCTAATGGTCCCATTCACAGTTCCTGGCGCCGTCTTGAAAAAAGGTCGCGCCATTGCACTGAAGCGATACAACCGTTGAGTATGCAATGATAGAAACTTTATTTCAGACAATAATTCACAGCTACGCTCAACCCTGAGAGATTTTTTTTGAACACTCGAAGATAAAATATGTATCTGTGTGCCCATGTAATATCCTCTATTTATGGCATACCTTCACTTTGTCCACATCATAATTGCGTTGTATCATTGAATTTGGAGGCATGGTATCTAAATATAAACAGAAAGCCTCAAAAAGATGTCATTACAGCAAATCTTAGTGAATATTTCCAGTTTTTTTTCCTTGAAAAGTTTTTTACATAACATGTTCATGTTACTGTACATTCTTGCAAGTACTGTAGAATAGTATGAAATATGTATTTCTAGTGAGCCAAAGACTAGTACATCTATCTACCTGGAGATTTTTGCTTTGGTGGCATCTTTTTCTTGATAAAAGTCTTACTTTTCTTAGCTGTATAATCAACAAAAGTAAACATTAATTAATAATCATTATGATTAATTACTAATCTAATCAATAATTTGATTATCTAAGGTAAATAATATATTGTAAAAACAGTCATTGCCATGGATTTCTTACTTGGAGGAGATTTCAWTTTTGGAGCATTCTTAGTGGCTATTCTCTCTTGTTTTGGTTTGGATTTCTTTAACTTTTCTTCTTCATCATCTACAAAACAGCATTAAGCACACAAGTTACAATAGAAACCAGTACAAAATCTACACATTCACAAATAAGTCCCTTAAKTTTTTCTAATTTTTACTTGATTCTCAAAAATTTCTTTAATTTTTTGTGAATCTAAAGAGAGCCTGACGTGTGTCAAGTCTAAGTCAAATTTTACCTTCTCCACATAGTACATTATTTTACACACAAAGTCTGTTATAGAAACCACTTTTATGGAAATTATGCTAACTAAATTGAAAACGTAACTGACGGACAACAACAGGAAATGTCTTTCAAGAACATGAGATGCACACAATAAAACAGCAGTACTTTCAGGCAATTTTTGGAGACTTGAAAACAATGCTTCTTCAGGTATTCTCTGATTTATTGAAAGAAGTCACACATGTCAGAACTTCATTATTAAATTACCACTTTTGTCACTATCCAAGTCCAAATCAGATAAAACATTTTTAGCATCTTCTGACAGCACCCCTTCGGACAAAAGTCCCTCTGATAAYKCWGTGTCRTCTGCAAACCCGTTTTCTTCTGSTTTGACYGGTTTCTCTTCGTGTGCACTTTTTTTCTCATTTTCATCTCTCTTTTCATCCYCCCATTCTCTAATTCCCATTCTGCTTATCGTKGAGGTGGTATCCTGGCTTAMAGTAGACTGTGGTCTGCTAGATGCTGATGATTTYGGTCTTGTATTTGAGGGACCAAGGACTTTTTTGACTGTTTCCATGCCTGTACGCCAGGAGTATGGYGTTATAAAGTCCATGGGTGCTCTTGGGGCTGTGATTCGYCTCATTTTTACACCACCTGAGATTCAAGGCGATAAAAAAATTATTCAAATTCAAAMTTTTCAAGGAAATTCCATAGAAACAAGGAGTACCAGAACAGAAAGTGTTTGGTTATAATATATTTATGCATTATTAGGAATGMTATATCATACATTGTATGTATGAGATCGCTATGCATCACGTTTCGTTAAAATGTCCTTTGTATGTAATATACATAATATGAAAGGAGATCTTTAGTGAGCAGTTTTAAAGCCCATAAAGGTTGGACGCAAATATTTTATATTCTTGATTATCAAATTCCAACATAAGATAAAGCATATTTTGCTGGGGGAAACGACAATAAAAGTCAAAGTCAATATGCAAATCAGGACAAATCTCTTGCTCATAAAAAGATGCGATAATGGCAATGATTTTCCATTGTGTTTACTGTATGAATTATTAATGAATTTGATAAGTGTAGTGAAAATTACTCAGATTTTCAATAGAATATGATAGACAGTAAGGTGATAAATGTCTTTAAAAAACTCATACATAATTAATGAGCTACTAGGCCAATAGAATGAGCCTATTTGGTCACATGCATGGACCTTTATATCTGATAAAACACTCCTTATTAGTATTCTTTATATAAAGAATACTAATAAGGGTGACCACTATCAGATATAAAGGTCCATGACCCTAGCAAAGGTCTCAGGTTTGAAACCTGATCATTGACCAATGCAGGATGTCAACCGATTTCATTGAACAGCCAAGAGCGGTTCTATTTTACTTTATACGTATTCAATGTGGGATGACAAGAGTGCTTTGTAAAGTGATTCGCGCATGATCAGTTTGCCCCATTTATCTCTGAATATATTTGTACGGCAATTTCTCCAAGAATGTTAACGGATTTGAGTTTCAAATTAGTGTTGGAGTTTTTTAAGCCGTTTAAAACACTCGAGATCGTGTTTTATCAGGTATAAAGATTCTCGCCTTCGGTTTCGGCTCGAATCTTTATACCTGATAAAACACTCTCTCTCGTGTTTTAAACTATACATAATCTACTCAGGTGTGTCAGAGTCTTCTCGCAAATCCTTGCAGAAAAAAATATTGTTGCTGTCTGTGCTTCAATTTCTTTTCAATGATATTCTAAGAAAACTGTTTTTATAATATATAAACACACCTTTTGATGTTTTCCCATTGGTACTTTGATTTGGTTTTTGAGGAACAGACGATCGTTTCTGGCCAGCTTTAGTTGATGGGGCATAGGAACTATCCCTTGACTGGGGTCTGCTGTCCTTTTCTTTAGATGAAACTGGGRCTGTGTTGGGAATACTAAAACCTACATAAATACAAATGATGGACACGAGAAGCAAAATTTCAATTTCAAGCAAAAAAATATGTTGCACTTCAAAGATTTTCCTTGCATGATGTACTCCCTTGTATCAAATTGATCAAATATGAGGGCACAAGCGCTCAGGTTAAATCTTTTGCAAGAGCATGCTGCAGGAGCAAGCTTCCTCATGTGTACTGGCCTTAACCAAGTGAATAAATGAATGAATGAATGAAAAATTGAATAAATGAACATGAATGACAAATTAATAAAACACTAATGAAAATATATAAAAAGTGAGATTTAACTAAATGAATAAATATATAAATAAATAGAAAATTATATGAATGACAGAATGACCAACTGAATGGATGAACAAATTCAAATGAGSAAACAAACAAATGCATACAAAATGCAGGTAAATAAATGARAAATKGTGTTATGTACCTTTGTATCCAGTTRGAGGAGGRGCTRYCACAACTTTTCGTTTACAAACTGGTTTAACAAAAGACTCTTCCTTCTCCATAATGACTGGTCTTTCTTCAAAGCTTGATTGAATCTTATTAACCACAGCTGGAGAAGACAAAATAACCAGTTAATTTACTATATTTCAGCTTGAATTGAATCAAAAATAATTACAATCTTYGTTTTCTTTTTGTTTTGGGACAGGAGTMCTCTCCTTTTGCTTCTGTATTCGTTCTTTGAGTCTTGCCAGAGCATCTGAAAAACAAACATGGAGCTATAATTTCATTTCACAAGAAATCATAATATYAAATGGTAGTGATGGAGAATGCCTATGCAAAGTACATGTAAATGACAGAATATGTGCATGAAAACATAGTTACTGTTTGAGCCAGAATTTGACAGGTTGCAGTTATTAGAATTGGATATTTAACAAATAGATCTCATTTTTCTGTGCGTGTGTACTCTAATAGATACACAGATGACATCAAAATGTAGTGAGAACAAAAAAGTACGCACGAGACGCAGTCGAGTGCGTGACTGTTGTTCTCACTACATTTTGACGTCATCTGTGTATCTATTAGAGTACACACGCACTGAAAAATGAGATCTATCTGTTTTATAAAACAGACAATTAGTTTTGATGTAATCCGTGTATCTATACTTTGATAACACACGAAAGCCAACCAATCAAAAYGTCTGATTTTACTGAAAAGTTGTATAAAATATGTAATACCTGATTTATCGGAAATAGAAGACAAAGGTGATAGAGGYTTGAGTCCATTYAGCTTTTTTCTTTTCACACTTGAARCTTCAGTATTATCATCAAAACTTGAAGAGTCAAAAACTCTGGATGGTTTATCAACATCTCTTGTTCTATTAAAATCTAGATTTCTTTGCAAACTCAAGTCATTTTCTTCTGAGTTATTGATAGTATCATTAATATAAGCAGGAGATATTGTCCTATCTCGACTTGGCGGCGAGTGCTGTCTGGTGGAATCTATAGATCCTCCATACTTGGAGTAGGATGTTGTATAACTGTTAGRAGTTATTTTTCTAGTTGATGAGACTTGTCGAGGTGAACGTTCACTTTCCCTGGGATACTGAAGTTCATTAACTGTTGGTCGCAGTTCATATCTTGATACACGGCCAAGCCGTTGGTYTTGTGAGAACACTTCTCTTACGGAAGGTTCGTTAAGATTTGGTTCTTGTGTTCTCCTGTTTCTGAGTCCAAAGTTTGCTTCTTGGATGCGGGCTTCAACAGCTTGTAGCTATAATGCACAAGGATATTGTTATTTATAATATTTTTTTGGACTTGTAACACAAATACTTCAAAATGAGGAACTAATAGTTTTTCCATGATTGTACAATCATGTTAATAACAGATCCAAATAAAAAGTAGAATTTGATTAACAATAAAATAATGGAATTTGAAAACAAATAAATAGGCAGACTTTCTGACAAATCTTTTTTTTTTTCTAAAAAAATCACAATAAACATAAACTTCAAATTTCTTTTTTGTAAGCCTTTCATTTGAGGCAGTTGTCAAGTTGACCATTTCATAAAACATTTTTCCATTAATATAGGGTGAGGTAAAAAAAAAACATTTTAAAAATAATAATAAATAACAAAAAAGTACTTTTTCGTATAATCACTAATTACATTTATTAGAATTTAATTTTGTATCTATTATTACAAATTGATTATTGTTAGACATTGTTTTTAGGGTCCATATATTTTCTAAACATGCTTGACTAGACATTACATCATCAAAACTGTTACTAAAATTAACGCTCTGGTTGCTACAGAAAACATTTTGATATTTGCCTCGCTATCGAAATTATACATGTAAATCGTTTTCAAAACAGAGACCAAATTATTTCATCAAATCGCAAATTTTCATTCAGCGCAAAGTCAATTGATTATAAAAACAAAGAATTTTYAAGCAAAATGAGTCAGCGAAAAGCTTTGTTTGAGGATTTAGGTTTATCACTTGAAACACGCTTTGATGAACAACAGAACAGCACTTAGAAAGGCGAATTTCACAATATTTTCAAATGACATTGCTTTAAGGATTGAWAATCGGAGTCAAGACATTGAACAGACACATTTAAAATAAACACTTGAGTAAAAGCTTTTCCAGACAAGGTTAAGGTTATTTCAATATAAGAATTTCTAAGAAATCGTGACATTTTCAGCAGTATCGAAAGGCAGACTTACCGCTGATCTAGCCTCATCGACATTTTCCCAAGCAGCATCGAGATCTWYAGAYAAAAACAGAAAARCSTCAGATGCAAGCAAAGAGCAATAAACAATTTTAACGGTTTGTCGGCYTCCACGTGTTTCACCTCAGACAACAACAAACGTTTGGTGTCAGAAGCRAAACGGCTATTTATGTTTTATAGTCTAGAAGTTTACATGTTTTAYATTACCGTTTAGTGAAGATGTATTTCTTGATTCTCTGGCAAAAGACCCATAGTGGATTGGTTTGGGATCTACGGACCGGCGGACACGGAAGGAATCATAAGAAGCCATGACCTGTTGTCGGGACAGCCTTCATCGAGCACAACAAACCAATTTGCCAACGTTTGTGCATAAATTTTATCTGGAAGTACACAAAAAAGAGCTCAAAGCTCACGAAAAATGACTATCGAGTCTTTAGTATGATTTTTACGTGGTCTACWAGTTTGCTTACCTTTGTAAATTAGAGGAAAATCATCGTTATTTTCGGTGACATTCTTCGTTGGTCATTTCCATACGCCCGCCATTTATTTGTTTTCCCCGAATTGCATTCTGGGTATGTCGATTGGAACTCTGGGTAACCATTAATTCGGGGGAAAATATGGGTAAATGGAAGGAAAAAAATATAAATAAATATACATAAAATCAATCGCATTATGAATTTTCTGTCATTGTTTCCTTATAGATAAAAACCATTATATTAAAAGCTATTACCCATTCCCAAACAAATTTAAACTCGAGTGGGGGCTGGGGCAAGTTGACATCCGTGCTCGAGCTCAATCACTCTGGAAATTCCAAAAGGAAAGTCTGAAAAATAGGGACAAAATAAGTGTTCTAAACGACTGTGGCGGTACCTGCCAGKTCCTATTCTTTTCTGATGTAAGTATGGTATTTCAGATCGTACATATATTACAGTCAATCTTGGTGAGTTTCGTACCAGACTGTTTCGTGAAAATCTGGCGCCATGACGTTTCGACAAAAAGGGATTTCTGACTTGTTTACCTACTCGGMTGTAATCCATTTTAACAATATTTTTGTTCCAAGGAGGATCTCTCAGTCGTTTTCTAGGCTACAATTTTGACTATAATAATTTCCCACTCATAGAATGAATCGTCCTCTCGTGTTACCTGTAAAGTTAAAAGCTTTTAATTAAAACTTAAGATTGTATTAAGCTTAAAAGTTTCCTGGCCGATCATTGACAATATTAAATGTCGAGACGAGTGATTTTCTTGTCATCAGGACAATTTGCAGGTTTATTATATTACTACTTCATCATCTGTCAGCCTGGAACTATTTATTTTGCACAATTTTAATTGTTTTAATTAATTAATAAGATAACTTAAACGCTTTCTATGTTCGCGTTTTAGTATAAATCATCAGGTGACACATTTTAGCTGATCAGAATCAGGAGGTGATTGGGATAACTCATAAAAAAAATCAACCATAAAATCCTAAAGAAAACATAAATTAAACAAGAAAATTTCATTTTCCTCATTCCCAAATCTGTCATTCATTATCTATCTATCCATCTATCCATATTTGTTTCAAAATAGCCTCCCCCTGAAATGTTCTGGATCTACCCATGATTATTGCTTAAATTTGGATTTAAAGGWTTACAAAGCAAGTAGGTTTTTGCATGTGCATAATCATTTTATTAATCACAACAGGAAACCCAAAGGGTGATCCTCCAATGCCTTGTATAGTTGGAAGCTCTATGGCACTCTTCCTTATTATCCACTTTATTAGAGTTTATATTAGACTGATAAACGTCATACCAATCTCATCCACAGAACCAAACAMAGCTATCTTCAAAGTCTCATTGTAGTTCCATGTGATTGGTAGACAAGTCAACATTCTACCATGGACGGAAAGAGTATACCTATCCATGGTGATTCTAAGGACTGCGAGCTTCACAATACATATGATGTACAGTTTTGTGTCCTTGCTGCAGTCAGTGTTTTACTTGGCTCTGTCATGTGTTTTTGTGGTAAGAGTTGATCATTATTGCCGAAGGGCCAGGTTTGAAAGCATGAGCTCAATGACTTTTAATATAGGGTATAATATGTTTTCTTTAACTTTCACAGCAGAATGTTATGAGGTTATGKAATTTTGGTCTAGTAAATATTAATGGTTGCTATGTATGTTTTATGATATGTAGAGCAAACGCAGGAAAACCATGAAATAAAATCAAACTAAATACTAACAAATAGCRGCTATTTAGAGAGAAATTGTCAGTATCAATGAACCAGAACGCAATAAAGATGAATGAAAATGGTCCCATGTGGATTCATCTTCATTGTGTTCTGGTTCATTAAATCGACTTTTTTTACGAGGGTAACACGTGACAGTAAAGAACTGATGAACTTGTGGCCCTCACACTCACACTCACTACCTCTACATTAATTATTTTAGCACACAACACTCCTCACATGTTGATTTTTACTGAGGGAGGAAAACAACATTGATACTGACAAATTGTCTCTAAATAGCTAGTTTGGTTTTATTTCATGGTTTTCCTGTCAGTAAATAATGTGTATTAAACTTATACTACTTTGATTTTGTTTCATGCTTCAAGTAGCTTTAACACAGGGATCCCAATACCTTGATAACCACTGACTTMCAACTCCCTGTCTTGTGTTTCCCATCTAGGATATAAATTCTTCAAGTTCATCTTATTCTGTAGTGGTTTTCTTATTGGCTTCTTCATTACATATACACTATGTGCAATGTACTTGACAAATTTGTCTGGATCACTGCTTGTTCATAAGCAACAGGTACAGCAATCGTTATAAATCAGGGGGGGCAGCTACAGTCCCCCCAATAATTTTTCCTACATTTTGAATTTTCTTACATGTAGATAGTAGAGAAGCGAAGAGCCTCCTTATGAATTTTCACCATATATATATATTCTATAAAAATTGTGCAAACGCTGAGCGTGAATAATTAAAATTGAAGCTTTTTTGTGAAGTCTTTGGTAGTACCTCTAGAAGTCTTCTAGTACCTAGATTCGCAGCTAGAACCCCCAAACAAATTCACGCTCCGTGGTCCCTGTAAATCTGTACTTATTTATTGATATGCCATCCTTTGGAGCCCATGAGGCCAGCCCAAGGCCTACCCAATGGCCTTGCCTAATATGCAGACTTAAAAATATATTTATTACAAACCTATAGCTTTATCACATCCAAATTGAATTTTAAAGTGATGTTTGTTTTTGCCCAAACCCCCTTGAAAGGCCTTGATAATTATACAACAATGTATATTGATTATAATTATTATTATTTATAACAGCTTTATCTTGGAATAGCAGCTTTCACTGGACTTATCAGTGGTATCATTGCTCTGTGTGTGTTTTATCTTGGTCTTTTTGTGCTTGGTAGGAAATGTTTGTAACAATCACAGTATAAAGTATTATAAATAAAATAATAAATAAAATATATCAAAGGTGGCACAGACGGGCAGCTCAGTTTTTCAAGAAAAGCCTATTTTAATACTTAAAAGTATGTTTGATAAATTCTGTCTCTTGACCAGTGTTAGACYTAAGCTTACTACTCCAGAATTCTCCCCTCTTCCCCTCTTTGCCTCCCCTGCACTGGCACTGCATATAGTTTATGTAATTTACAATAGATGTATTTATGGTCACCTTGCAGAATGATTTGCATGTAAACAGCGTTGCAAACAGCATGTACATGTATTACCTAAAGTAGAACTCAAAAAAAAAATTCCAATAATTATGGGTCAATCTTTCTATAGGAGCAACAATGGGCTGGTTTGTTGGCATGGCATTCCTACCCCTGCTAAGTGAACACTCTGCTTACCTAAATGAGAACACATGGCTTCCATTTGTCATCCTATTTGCATGTGCAATTCTTGGTGGGATTTTAATAATATGCTTGCAAAAGGTAAATCCAGTTAATCCAGAAAAAAATATTGTTGAGCTATTTTCAGTCAGTAATAGTAAAAATCCGGTGACAATTATTTTTCAGATCATTATCATCATCGCAACATCTTTTCTTGGTGCTTTTTGTATCACAAATGGATTGGATTACTACATTGAGAATAATGTTACTCTTTAYTATTCAATCAAAGTTCTCCACGGTATGTCCCTTGACTCTCTTATAGAAGGGGAGGGGGGATGAATAGGTTTTCGRATTGGTGGATCTGGSCCTAAAATGACACRCGGATTACGGATTTAAAGAAAAAATAGAGCGGATTGCCGGATCCTTAAAACGTACCRGATCACGGATTTATTGAAAATTTAATGTCGGATTTCGGAYTCTATAATGGCGATAATCGTGACTGCGAATTTTGYCGATTGTTGACTACAAARAAATCKTTTGAATTAGTAAGAATTTATGATTTTCTTACTATCGATTCCTATCATGATTTGGGATTCGGATTAAAGCAAAACTTTGCRYRGATCGGTGGATTTTAGAAAAAAAATGAGYGGATCGGCGGATTCGGAGACCCCTATTCACCCCCCCTAGAAGAAGGGAACTTTTAGTAGGGGTGCAGGCTCTCCTATAGGTGGATATAAAGAAGGGTTGGGCAGCTCATTAAGAATATGAAAATTGGCCCCTAAGAGGGCCCAGAATGATGTGTTGGTTGACTTTGAAAACATTTTCAAACTCCTTGGAATTTGAAAAAGTTGATTTCAAATTCAAATTCAAAGCAAAACTTGTCTCAATTTTATGCATTTGGAAACCCTGTGGGAACCTATTATTGGTTGGTGATTATTTTCCCTTATATCCTCATATTCATAAATTCAAGAATGTTTGGCTGATCAGTATTATGTCTTGAAGGCTCTGTTGATGAAACTATGAAACCAAGATGCTGGTACACGTGGACTGTGTTTGCTTTCATTCCAATTCTTTTTATTGCTGGTTTAGCAATCCAATTTGCTATCACATCAAAAGGCAAAGATCATACAAGAGGTAAATAAATATGTACTAATCAACTGATAGAGTGATCGCACTTAAACCGTGCAACTGTACAAAATCTAAGTACTAATTATGTTGTACTAAACGTGGACCTGAAGCAAGACGGTATCCGACATTGGTCAACCACACCAAGAAAACAAAAAACTTAAATGAACTAGTATTCTTAATAATATTATTTATCCAGCGTAAGAAGACCAAACTCTATTTTCAAACCTGGTCAGTGTATGATTCGATTTCTCAAAAGAAAACCAAACGCAGGAAAAAATATCTTGTCAAATTTTGCCAGCCAGGCATTACTTCACATGCAAATTAGCACAGGAAGCCCAAGTATCCGTGACAATGCTCAAAAATATTCAAATTTTAATTAGGTCCAGCATTACTCAATAAAAATKCATTTAGTGTTTTAATTCCACTCAAACTGACTGAATTATTGCTCAAAATCTCATATTTCTCATATCTCTGCGTCTTCTAGGTTATGACAGACAGCGTACAATACTAGTTGCTCCTCCGCCTGATGCAACAATGATGCAAGACTTTGCAGACACCCAGGTATGATATTTTCCCAGGGGGAAGGAGTACACCCATATATATGTTACCCCCACCCCCCCCCCCCCCCCCCCCCCCCCCTTGTACTATTTAGCATCAAGTGGAGGCATAGATCCCCTTCTCCTCAAAAATTAAATAAATGTACGGTCAATCTTTCTCAGTATTAATTCCAAGAAAGTACAAAAACACCATTTAGTAACAAGAACATGTTGTATTTTTGATTGGGTTGTGATATTTCTTTGGTGACCCCACACTAACTTTGGGTAACTTGCACTAAATAGGACCCAGTTTCCACTCATTCTTCAATAACACAGGGAGCCAAAAAACCCAAAATCCTCAGATATATTGATTGGTTTATTTGCAGCCGTTGGTATCCAATCAGGCATAGAGACGTTTGGGAGACACGTTCTTGCAGTTTTCWTAATACGTTCCATGCTAGTATTTCTGCTTTGGAATCGGTTTAGAACTGGGAATTTTCATGAAAAATAAATAATGCTGCATGGGGTAAATCCTTAGTTGCAAAGAAAATCCACACAAAATTTATAGAGGGGCTTACTTGAGTCATACAAGTTTAGATTTATTTTTTTATGTCGAAAATTTGATCGATAKCGACATGACAAGTCCAAAAAACAAACAAGAATAATAAAAGTGCGAAATATTTGAAAGGCAGAAACAGTTACATTTAAAATGTCCCAGTTATTACTGTAATCAAGAATAAACTTAAGTCAGTTCAGATAGCATTACCATGTGGGATGAGCTTGTCAAAGTATATGAGCATGTGTAATGTGTAAATCATGTCTGCTTCTAAGAACACTGACGCTTGGCTATTGTTAAAGTTTAAAAGAAAAAAAAAAACGTTTTAATGCTGTCAAAGTTAAGATTTGAAATTAAAAGCTTGTTTCGTTGGGTATCATGTCTTTGTGTCTCTAGGCCTTTGGTGGCTATGAAATAAGCGGAGATGGAGAAACCTCGACGGAAGGAGAACGAAAGGTTTTCATTTGTTMTCTACACGAGAATACGCGCTTCTCCACTACTTCTTCTTCATCTCCGCTTACGTCAAAGTTTAAATCTTGAGACATCACAACCACAAAAATTGAAGGCCTTTAGTAAATAAATCGCTTTTAGTCATGGCCAGAATGAGAATGCGACGGTGTTAAAATAATATAATATGTGGGCGCAAACCTCAAATTTGCCATTTCACTTTCTTCTCATTTCGAAAAGAAGCGACTGCGCGGTAAATGCCTTGGGAAGATTTTGACCTACCTAAGGCTATTAGGCACGTGTGAAAATCAGCGAAAGCAAAAGAAAGCGGCGAAGAAAACAGAGCAAATGTACCTTCTGTTTTCTCTCTTTGAGCGCTATTTAATGTTTCTTTCTAACTCGTGCAATGTAAAGCGCGCAATAAGATAACAGGACATAAAAGTTTACGATGGTCGTTAATGCCCAGGGCTATTTTTATTGGCCTGGGTATTCTCTTAATATCTAATATTTGTCTAAATTACAACTTTTCATTTGATTACTGAAACATCAATTTCGTTTAGTCGATGATAAAACAATAATTACTAAGCTCCAAATCATCTAATTTGATCCATTTATTTATACATTGTACGAAAATACGCCTTGGATCACATCTATTAAATGAGGCAGTCACTAAACTCACACTCATTCTTTATTATAATACTAAACCAAGGCCTCTGAATGAATATAACTTACATTCTAAATTCCCGCCAAAAACTGACGCTTTATCCAAAACGTGCGCGCGCGAGCGCACACTGAAAAAGGCGGGAAAATAGTGGTGCTAAACAATAATGAATTGTCTAAAGAACATACGACCAATGTACAGTTTTCATACAGTCCGTTTATTATTACACCTCACAAGAAATTTACTGGGATAACTAGCATAGTATAACGAAAGCAACGAAAAAGGTTTTGGGTGTTTTTGAGTGTTCATATCATACTGAATAGTGTTATTTGGAGTTTAACTAACTAAAACAAATTGGGCCTACTTCAAACCCGAATTCTAACGATTCCTTCAAATCTCCGGGAGCAAAATCTACAATGGGCATTTGGTTAAGATCTTCAGTTACAATTTGGAATATAGCTTTGCCGTCTTTTTCCTTGTTCTGTGAACAAAATTATAAGACGAAATTGTGAGCTTCGCTTTTGAAAAGGAAGCTGAGTACGATGAGCGAATGCAAGAAAACGTCATGAAAATGGAAATAACATTATTTTAGAATGAGAGTTGAGGACCGTACACTACTGTTGAAATTCAAGAATGTCTTGACATTTTTTTTTTGTAGTTGTTGTTGTTCTTTGTTTCATTTTCCCTTGATTCTCACAGAGTAGTTCATTCTTGAGAATGATTATTGGTAAAGTTAAAAGGCGCATACCTGGCATCCGTCGTGAACAACCTTGATACTAAATCGGTTCTTCGTATATCCAATCACATCGTCGTTATCGCCTTGCAGTCGAATTGCCTTCTCGTACGATTTGGCAACATTGTCGTACCATGCCACAGAACCACTGCAATAATAGGTGAAATTCTGRACAGCTTTTTCGCTTAACAGACGAAGGAAATTGAGTTGCGTCTTGCCTACGTCTTTGTASGAGATCTTGAATAAAGTAACAGATATTAGTTAATGATTTACATCAATTGAAAATCAAAGCATGGTCCAAGGGAAAGCCGCCGGAATAAGTTGAAATGGCGTGCTCATGAAACATTTGCCCCGACATACAAATTCATTTTTTTAGATTCGCTTGCATAGCTCTAGCGAGAAATGGAATTTGATTTTGATGATCTATCCTTTTTTTAATCTTTTTCTTTTAATTTCGCATAGAAATGTCGCCCTCATTATTATTACTTTTCATAAAACTTCCCCCATCTTGACCTTTCAATACCATGATGCATTTCGCCGAAAACAATATGGCGTCAAAAAAAGATAACTAGCAGTATTAAGAATCAACGAACCTCATATCCACCATCATATTCGCTAAACCATTCTGCTCCGTCGACCTTCCTCCAGCTCTTACGCTCTCCCTGCGAATAACAATGTTGGAAACAGTTAGTATATTCGTCTGCAAAGTGTGTTACAAATAATAATGTTGAAAACAGTTAGTATCTTCATCAGAGAAGTCTTACGAATAACAATGTCGAAACAGTTACTATCGTCATCAGCAAAGTACTACATGGGGACCTATTTTAGGTTGTCGGTTGGGCGTTTTTTGGCCGARTTTAATTAGAGGTCGACTTCCGGCAATGCTCTCATTTTTGTGGAGGGTTAAGGACATAATATCGATATTGCGCGGTTGTTGAAAATCGCTTATTTGGCTAAACGGTTTAAACATAGATTTTAAAAAGATTAAGGACCATAGATACTAGTCTATGAGTGCATATATACTTACCGATCTTGTCCTATTGTCAGGATAAATACATGTTTCTCCACCAGAGGTGAAGTTACAGAAGACTTTAATGGCGTCCTCAGTGCAGCCGTTGTTGGGATCAATCCAGTAGTGATCTTAACAAAAAAAATAAAGACCGACACAAAATCAGTGTTTTTTCTTCTAATATTGAGCAAACAATCACATTGTATAACTGCTATAGATTCACGAGTAAACGCGCTAAACAATCAGTGATGTTTTCACGAGGCACAGCCGAGTMATTGATCAAACAGCCTTAGTTGACGGAATGGTGGGAACTAGCGGTAAACTAGTGTGAGCTGCGTCAGTGTTTCTTAAAGAAACAGTTGTGTARAAAGACGTCTTACGTCAGTAAGTTATTTCACCTACTTTTTACGGTGTTAAATTTATCTTATTACACAACTGTTAGTTGAATGAAGACGCCATACACTTTAACCTACCATCTTTTTTGGCTCGGTTGCACAACTTGAGATCTTTACAAGTTCGAGCGGGGTTACCCCGTGAGTCGCCCCGTGGACGGCGAATCTCTTCGATTCGTGACCGCAAAGCTTTGATAGAGTCCAACATCTCATCGTCCAATGGTTCTCGCATATCACTAAATTCATCTAAAGATCGTTTTCGTCTGGTCTCTCCTTTGTCTGTTCCAGTGTTGGGTGACATATACGCTGCAATGAGGTGACTCTAAAATTCATGAGATTTGAAGATTGTTACTAATGATATTTAATAGGGGATTTTCCTTTTTTAACCTGCAAAATGTGCGAAGATACCCTAAAAGTTAAATAATACCAAATTACTTACCACATCTCCAGGTGGTCCCTATAACGCAATATTAAAATACACATTAGTAAGCAATTATTTGACCAACAACCACCGTGCAGTTAAATCCTGAGGGTCGAGGGTCGCTGTCTAGTCAAAAATAAATGGTCGCAAAGCATGCAGGTTGATACTGGGCCTTTAAGCTTGGTYCATACGAGTACACAGAGTAAACGCAAGTGCAAACACTAGAGCTAGAATAAGATAAAAGCTTCATATCTTGAATTTGGATTTGCATTGCTTGAGTGAACCATGCTTTAAAGTGTAATGTGCTCAATAACAATTATCGTGACTATAAAGACGCTACAAAATGTAAGAAATAAGATTGAACACTTACTGGTGGTCCAGGCGGTCCCTGAAGTCAACAAAAACAGATAAAAAATGTTATCATGATATTTGTATAGACGAAGCTACAACCTCCCTCCCTCTCACCCCAATAAAAGCATAGGCGAATATAGGATTTTTCGGGATGTTTCGACAAGAATCGTCAATTCAGTCTACCGTGATAATACCGGAACTTTTGACTCGAAACCATTCTTATATTTCCCTTAAAAATCGTTTAATATACACTTTTTTGAAAATGGCGAACCCCACCCACTCAACCCCCCTCTTCAACCTCCTTCACTTGGTCTCACTTATGTATCGACCTAAAAAACCTAAAATCACTTAACTCGAGTCGAAAGACTGGGTTTGAATAAATCAATATTAAATGCTGTCTCAGATAATAGTTATAACGGACTCAGGCCTTCGTGATGACGAAGTCCCCTAGTCCCAGTGTCAATTACGTTCGACAAACGAACAAGCGATAACTCGACAATCAAACAGGGGGGTTAAGAATTTTGGTATATATACTTTTACATTGCACCTCATAACCTCCTCCCCCTCACCTCCCCTGTCAAATGATAGCAGTTATAGAAATATTTATGAAATACGTACCACTGGCCCGGGTTCTCCCTATARGCAAAAAATAGAGAAAAAAATTAATTTACATGTAAGACTTCATAACAATCCATAACAATATAATTAATACAACAATATAATTAACATAATAATTGATAGAATAATGACTATMATTTACCCTTGGTCCTAATGCGCCCTGCGGGGAAAAAAAGGAAGAGAAATATCARCAATWTAACTATCACTTCTTAACAAACAGTTATTTTTTGTATATTTGGATGCATTTTGTTCTCTGCGTTATACCATGTTGGATACGATGTTGATGATAAGATTCAAGTACAAATACGACACAGGTTTGTAGCAGTCGCGGTTATAATTTAGTATTCATAATCATTCATAAATATCACTAATAATCATTATCAAATACAACTTACTCTGTCTCCTTTGGATCCCTATTTGCAAAMAGAAAGAGAAAAACAAATATAGAATTTATCAGTTAAACATTACAATCAAARTGAAACGATTTTCCTTTACTTACAGCACCACCACCTCTTCCCTAAAAGATAAAACAACACAAAAAGTTAGGACTGCAMTTGGTTGAGTAACTCTATAGTCACACAGAGAAATGAAGATCGGCTACGTACTCTTGGTCCTGCAGGCCCATCTGGTCCGACAGGTCCATCGGGTCCATCGTCACCCTAAAATTAAAGTAAACATTGTTTTGCATTTCTTTAAAGTAAATTCTGTTGTTTAAGCATACATTTATGGTCTCATTCAACCCATTCAACTATTCCTTTTCCCRTTCCATTATTCTCTAATCATTCCTAGTACCTTGTCTCCCTTGGGTCCAGGGTGGCCGATTAAACCTGGGAGGCCTTGATCTCCCTGAAAATAACAATTCAAAGAGAGACTCTTAAATTGTGCAATAATTTTCTGCTTGCACAACAGTAGCTGTTTCATTATCCAACCAACATTTTTTACATTGATATTTCTAACATAGCAAATTAATTTATCGCCGTACCTTCTCTCCCTGCGGTCCAGAAGGTCCTGTGGGACCGAGGAATCCATTCCAGCCCTTAAAGAAAACATCAAAGACTTAAATTTTCAAAAAGTTGAAGAAGGAGGAGGCAATAATGGAACTCCATTGGGCCACCGAAGAGACATTTTAAATTGGGGTGGCTGTATTTAACGGGCAGAAAACGTATGGGGGTTAAATTCAGCGTGACATAAAAATCTGGCCGTTATAAAGGAGTGTCCAATGCCTATTAACCGCGTGGCCGTAAAGTGAGGTTCACGGCAGAAGGAAAACAAAAAGGAGCTGAAAAAGAGAAAAAGTAAAGAGAGACAAAAAAATAATAATAACGATGGCTAAACGAGGAATACCAAAAAGGAAGAAAGAAAAATGTTCATACCTTGTCTCCTTTCTCTCCCGAATTTCCTTTATCACCCTTATCGCCTTTCCTGCCCTGTAATTAAACAACCAGTAATATCTTATAAAATACAACAACGACGAATGTCAGGAGRAGGTCCAACAAAGATTGATTTACTAAGATTGTCACATGCGACTTGACGAWCTCAACTCATCGAGRAAGACCTTTATAAGACTCATAAAATYAMTTGTCGCAAGACCGGATACTATCTTGGATTATAACTTTTTTACTGAAATAGA